TCCCTCCGTCTCCTTCCCTCCCCTGCACCCCTCCCTCCGTCTCCTTCCCTCCCCTGCTCCCCTCCCTCCGTCTCCTTCCCTCCCCTGCACCCCTCCCTCCGTCTCCTTCCCTCCCCTCACCTGCACCCCTCCCTCTGTCTCCATCCCTCTCTCAGTCTCCTTCCCTCCCCTGCTCCCGTCCCAGAATTTCCCCTGCTGGAGACTCAGGCACCAGTATCAACCTTTCTGACCCCTCACCCCTCCAATGTTATGAAAGCTTTGTGGTCTCAGTGGACACTTTGGTTACCTGCTGTCCCAGAACCGGATCTTCTTGTCATGATGGCCGCTGATGGTGTACATGTCAGAACAAACAACGTCGCTGCAGTACGAGGAGACCGGGATGCAGCGGGTACCTGGGACGAGGAAAAGGTCAGATGTTGGTAGAGATCTGCGACACCTCCGGCGACCCGAAAAGTGTAAACCGCGGTGCAGTGCAGAAACCAAAGATGGATACAACGTATCTGCAGACTCAACATAAAGGGAAGCACAAGTGGGAGGTTGCACAACCCAGAATCATGTCAAGAGGCTGCAATCCCTCTGTGAAAAATCTGGTGAATCTGGCTGTCACCATCAGAGGCCCCTCCCACTCTTCTGGCCCAACCAAAAGCCAGGAATGAGAACAATTCCTGATATCACAGACAGGCCACGGGGCAACTGTTATACTGAGCCTGGAATCAGAAAAATGGTGCCGTTCAGGGGTATCAGTCACCAGGACAGGAAGTGAGGGGGGATTGCCTCAATGCAGTCACAGACCCCCCAAAAACTCGCCAATATTGAATACCGATACCGGAAGTCCCATGAAGGAAGCCAGGCAGCATGTAAAGCAGGGGTAGCAAACCTCCGGCCCTCCAGCTGCGGTGAAACTACAAATCCCATGATGCATCTCTCTCCGGGAGTCGTGACTGCGGCTGTGAGAATCTTGCAATGCCTAATGGGATTTGTAGTTCCACCACAGCTGGAGGGCCGGAGGTTTGCTACCCCTGGTGTAAAGACTCGCCGCCCGGCTTCCCTATTAGCAGGGAAGCTGTCTCCATGCTCCCTCACCACCGGGAGACGAGAGAGCATGGAACCAGCTTTCTGGCCCATCAGGAAGTCGGGGGGCGGGTAACGACTCGCCTCCTGGCTTCCTGATTGGCCAGCTTCTTGACCAATAAGAAAGCCAGGCGGCGAGTCATTACACAGCACCCAGCTTCCTGATTGGCTCCGAAGCCGGCTTCATGCTCCCTTGTCACCTGGTGAGGAGGGAGCATGAAGCCGGCTTTCTGGACAATCAGGAAGCCGGGGGACGGGTGATGACTCGCCGTCCGGCTTCCTCGTTGGCCAACTTCCCGACCAATCAGGAAGCTAGGTGGTGAGTCATTACACGATGCCTGGCTTCCTGATTGGCCGGGAAGCTGGCTCCATGCTCCCCAAGTGATGAGAGAAAATGGAGCTGGCTTCCTGGCCAATCAGGAAGCCGGGCAGCATGTAAAGACTTGCTGCCCGGCTTCCTGATACCAGAAGTTCAGGTATCAGGCCAGGCATCGGAGCATTTGGGCAAGTATGAGTACAAGCCCAAATACTCGGTATCGGTGCATCCCTCATTCTTACCTTCCACTCGGAGAAGGAACCGGTTAAAGTCTATCCAGACTTTCACACCTCCAGTGACATCTCCAAGTGAAGCTGAAGTATGGACTGGAGATCCCAAATGCCCCAGAGGAGGAGTCTGGCAAGCGAGAAGAGCAGCGCAAGGGGATTTATGGCCGAGGCGTGTGGGATTGCCTTGGAGTCCCCAAGTTGTACCGTCATTGTAGAGATGGGAATCCAATGGACTGCCAACAATGCTTTAAGGAATTCAGCCATGGCAATCCTAAAATGGAAGGTCCTCCATGGTCAACCCTGATGGACCTGTGTCTTTATTCATCCTCAAATACTATGCAACCTGGTCGTCCAGACTTGGGAGTTCATCATGAAGAACCCATATTACTACCACAATACTATTACTCTAGAGCCTTGGTTCTCAACCTGTGTAACCTCAGGACCCACATTTGTCCTCCGTCATTAAGTCGCAACCCAAGTTGCACTGCAATGGACTGCCCAGCAGTGTGGGCTGCTGTGACAGAGCTCCATCCATATGTGCATTGCTTGTACAGTCCCCATGCGTGCCTGTAGAGAGGAAGCCAGAATGTGATGTCACTTCAGTCCAGGAGTCTCTACAGGACAAAAGAGGGAGCTATAAGAAATGTACATATGGATGGAGCTCCCTGGCGGCCATACTCTCAACCCACCCCACCTCAAGTCGACACTTGGCGCCGGGCAGCATATTTTGAATGGCTGCTCGGTGTAAGAATGGAGAGTGCTGCACTAGGGGGAGGCTGAGTAGCCTCTCACCTAGAAAAGTGGAAAGCATATGGTGACCCACTGAACACAGGGTCGCGACCCACTTTTAGACCCACTCTAGAGCCTTGGTTCTCAACTGGTGGGTCCTGACCCAAAAGGGAGTCATGAACCCGTGTCCAGTGGGTCGCCACACGCCTTCCACTTTTCTAGGTGAGGGGTTCCTCAGCCTCCCCGTAGAGAAGCACTGTCAGTTCTTGCACCGAGCAACCATTCAAAATGATAATGCCCGGTGCCGAGTATCGACGTGAGGTGGGACTATGGCCGCGAGGGAGCTCCCTTCATACGTGCATTGCTTACAGCTCATTACATTCTGGCTCCCGGGACCTCTACCAGCGCGCACGGGAGCTGTACAAGCAATACACGTATGGATGGAGCTCCATCACAGCAGCCCACACGGCACCCCAGGCTGAGGATCCACTCCAATTTCCGTAACGACAACACAAACGCACCTCCCACCCACAGTTCCCACATCGCCTGCACCGGAAAGGGCAACATGGAGCATTGCAGTGCAACTTGGGCCACGACTTTATGACCGAGGACCCGTGGGTCTTTATGACCGAGGAATGTGGGTCCCGAGGTTACACAGGTTGAGAACCGCTGCTGTAGAGGTAATATACCTGAACTTTTGCTAGTTAGGGATCTATGAAGCGTCAGGAACCTGCGCAGAAATGATGATTCGCTTTGGCTCATGATATCGATGGCACGTTCATTAGTAGATGGGAGAAGTCCTCACCCTGGCCAGTATGACCAATAAGAATCTACAACCTTCTAACATCTCCACTTCCTGTGCTGGTGACACCGAGAATGGGGCCATTCTGAATTCTTGCGCAGCCAGATGACGAGAATGCTCTTCAGGATTGAGGGATATAAAGAACCAGAACGTGGCCACTTTTTGTTACTCAGGGCAGGACAGTGATATTGGGAGGGTGCGCTACCCATTCAACCAAGATTCACCCAACCACAAAGCCTCATATTCGCTGATGGCAAAACCACAAATCATAATATTTAATTGTCTCCGATACAGTTGGAGGACATGGAGAGGGTCAAACCACAATTTTGACTCACAGGCTGCTTTCTGCAGGTCCCACTCCCTGATGGTCCGGTCCATGCTGCAGGTGACCGCACGGTGCACGGACATCTTAAACCTGGCCGCCGTCACTTTCCCTTTGTGTCCGGTCAGAGATTCCTGAAAATTAGAAATTACGTCACTCAGTGAAGAGCAGTTGAGGCTTAAATATATAATACAATATAAAGAATGAACTGCGCCAATAAGCAAGCTAACAGCTACAAGGCACTGGAATGTACACCCACTGTGAGTGTGTATACGTGGCACATTTAGTTATTCATGAGGCTTAAATATGCCTCATTAAAAGCCCATCTCATGGGAAAGCCCCCTCCAACCCTTCTGTCCATCTCATGGGAAAGCACCCTCCAACCCTTCTGTCCATCTCATGGGAAAGTCCCCTCCAACCCTTCTGTCCATCTCATGGGAAAGCCCCCTCCAACCCTTCTGTCCATCTCATGGGAAAGCCCCCTCCAACCCTTCTGTCCATCTCATGGGAAAGCCCCCTCCAACCCTTCTGTCCATCTCATGGGAAAGCTTGAACCCCTCCCACCCTTCTGTCCCCATTCACCAGCTTTGTTTTCTGTAATACCGCTTTATACTCACCAAAGTCCGGCGTCTGGGTCCTTTGCCAGTGCCAATGACCAGCAGTGATCCAGCGCTACAGTCCATTCCCGCACTGGTCTGTTGGCTCTATGTGATATACAGCCAAAGGCCCAACATTCCCCCCGTACAGGGTGTGGAGTGAATATACAATATACCCAATATGGGGCCGATTTATAAACCTTGCACACCATTACCACCACTAGATGGCGCTGATGAGCACAGGAATCTTCTAGGGGGGAAACAGGGAAGGAGGCGCTTTAATAGGGGGGGCAACTTCTACTTTCCATTTACTAGCCCGGCACAGATAACGGGAGGAGGAGCGGATCTTACATTGGATTTGCCGTCCAGCTTCCAGAGATGAGCCGACCCATCGAATGACGCTGCCAGGAGATGTAGACCCTGGAGGGGAGCAGACAGTACGATCAGATGTATCGGAATACAATCATATCTCTATACGAGACCATTCATCAATATCAGCTACATACGTATTCCCTAAAAAGTTACAAAGCCTACCCCCCCCACACACACGCGCCTTGTCTATGTGTCTGTCTGTAACGGGAACCGCCGACTCCGCTCACCTGGGGCCCGGGGGGG